TTAGGAATCATGTCATTGCCCCCGTCAGGCCCCAACCATGTGATCAAGTCATTCGGACATTTTGTCATGTGCTCTTTTTTAATGAATATTATCAATCTTTCCCGAAGTTACAGAGTCGTTTTCTACTCACAAAATAGCCAAAATGTGTCGACCGACTAGGTCTAATGCAGCATTTTCGGTTCCCAAACTTATTTCGTTACTAAAAATTGTTCAGAAACTAAATTGTTTGTAAACTGAAACATGCTTTCCACACAAGAATTATTGTAGAAAAGAATAATTTATATGTTAACTCAAGATAATTGCTTGAAAATCGTGTTTTTTTTTCCTAATTATATTCCACTCCAAGACGTTGAGTCGTTTACCACATATATGGGAAGTAGTGTAGATAAAGAAAGGCGGGGATGATAGAGATAGAGGTAAAGGCTGCCTGTTAATAGAGTCGCACATAGTACGATCTCCATAGCTCCGGCGACGATCACACGCACCGCCGTGAAAATAACCCTCGTCCTCCAAAGAGCGAGGCAAACATCTTGATCACTTCGCTACAGAGACCCCCTAGTAAGCTATTAAACTACGAATACAAAAGGCAAGAGGAGCGAGCTTTCATAGCTTTCTAGGAAATTTGTGGAGGTATGTTTATGTTTATTCAAACGATCAAGATCATGGCACACGGGTGTAACCCATAAGTGTTCTGTTCTTATTCTAACTCAAGCTTGAGTTTGAATAATCTTAGCGCAGTGCACGAACTCTGTTGCGATGATGAGGTAACTCTAAATTTTGCCCGGGCAGCGCCGTTAGGCTGCTCTTTTCGATTTTCAACTGCATACACACTTGCTTCTGGTTTAACTACCCAGAAACTAGGGAAAATTACTACAAATCCACGTGAGAAAAAAATCCCAGCCCTCACTGGTGGTCAAACGAAATTAAATATAATACTAAACTAAACAGTTTTTATTCAAATGTCAAACCAGTACTGTTGTATAGAGCAGAAACATGGAGAACAACTATTACAAATTACTTATCAGCTACAAACATTCATTAACCGGTGATGGCTCAGAACAGAGGGAGTTAAATCGAATAACAGGATCACTAATGTCAGGCTGGAGTATAGTCAATAACAATTATTAGGACACTGGATGTTTATGGTATCTGCACTGAACGGAAGTTGTTCTTCTTTCGACGTAAATTCAGTCTGAAGCGTTCGTATTGTCAGGACTTAAATTCAGGAGCCAAGGCTTTGTTCAGAGATCAAGACCTGTTTTCCAGTAAAAATTTGTTCACAAACCGAATTGTTCCAAATAAAAGTATTGGAAACTTTGTTTACTGTGTTCTTCTGTCTAACTGCCTGGCTATTAGCTTTTTGACGTGTACAATTTTTATTAGGCCTTTGGATGGTTCCAGCCCCACACCTCCAACCCCCCCCCCCCTTTTTTTTTTAGATGTTGGGGGAGGGGGAGCGAGGCCGGGGCGATGTCGCCCACTTTTGGAAAGTTTGTTTCAGAGCACGTGCTGCAGAAATGATCATCTTTAGACAAATACCTTGTGTATATGCGATAACAGTAATAAATTAACTCGATAAGATTTAACGTATACAATCAATACCTGTTGCTATTATCACCAGGAGAACAGAAACGGTTGGTAATGTGGTTAACAACGCTGTGCTTTGATTTAGGAGACCCAGACTAAAATAATCCATAAGGCAACAGATTTTCTTTTCAGTCCGAGGGCAAAAATAAACATCTGGAACATCCGAATAGTTCACAATCTCTAACGATTTTACTAGCGATGCGGAAATAAACCCTTAAGCTAAAGACATTAAACGCACCGCTTAATTTTTTTTTTCTGTCTTTCCTGCGCCCAGCCCCACCTCTCCACTTCGTCACACACCACCCTAAGTAGTAACAAACATATACAGTAAAGAGTGGCATGTGAAGAAATAAACTAGGAAACTTAGGGATGGCCTAATGTGGAAATATACGAAGAAAACAAAGATATAGAGTTATGTGAGATGTTTACGTAACCACTAGCTGTTCCGTTATCCTAAATGATGTTCTGTAGAACCTAAGAACATAATTGTATTCGTTCCATGACTGAGATCCTATCCTAAAAATATTTTTTTTTCTCAATATGAAAATGTATGTAAATCATTTTAATTCGTTCCATGCCTCAAAAAAGCACAAATGACGTTTTTCGTTTTGTTGAATTGGTCTGCAAGGTGTTTGACATGCCTGACACTGCAGCCAGCAGTGCTGGGAGCATCTAGCTCTCCTAGGAGGATGAACAGTGACAAATTAGTAGCCGGCACAAGCAAAACCCACCTCCCCGTGGTGCAGACTGGAAACTGAATCCGTGAGGATACAGAATAACGGGGGCATGGCCATCTGGAGAGGAGTGGGCCCCACCAGGGTTGAAATACTGCCCGAGAGGCAGCATGCTGTTGACAAATAGATCGGATACCAAACTACAAACGAAGAGGTTGGCCATTATATTATATAGTACATTAGCAACTATTAACCCCTTCTGACTGCAGTGAACAGGTGAAAACGGCAATGGTATGGACATGTAATAAGATCTAACGGCGTCTCCAAAACAATACTGCAGGGCTCAGTAGAGAGAGAGAGGATAAGAGGCAGACCAAGAAAGACCTGGTTACAGATCCTGACTGACTGGACAGGGTTCAACCATAAAGTCCATCGCAACTGACCAGAAAAGGTGGAGAGAGCTGATCAGACAGTCAACAGAAACTGGTGACCCAACGACACGTAGTGTTACTGGATGATGGTGATGAAATTGGGAAGTGTAAGGGGCTGCTTTCTATTTTGTCTTTTACCGTGATGCGACAACAGGCTACTTCCAACCAACGAATGTGCTAAGGTCCATCGTCATCAAGTACTGTGTCGACTGGCTCAAACCCTCTTTCGGCAACGTTAACTTACCTAATCCACTTTATGGATGGTATCGAGATGATATGAGGCACTGCCTACTCTACTCTATCCTGGAGCTGGTCGTGATATCAGGTAACGCCTGGAGTTCTAGTGTCTTCAAACCCACCCTGGATTTCGCCTCGTGTTTTAGGAAAGAATGATTTTTGAGACTGATCTCGTATCCTGAGAAACTCCTATCCAGGTTTACTCATAATTCAAGGTTTCAATGTGGCGTATTTACCTGCCACAAAACTGTCAACTACTGCCTGTACTTTATCACTTTTGCGGCGTTTTCTTCTTTTTCTTTTTCTTCTTGTTCTTCTTGTTCTTCTTGTTCTTCTTGTTCTTCTTGTTCTTCTTGTTCTTCTTGTTCTTCTTGTTCTTCTTCTCTTTCTTCTTCTTCTTCTTCTTCTTCTTCTTCTTCTTCTTCTTCTTCTTCTTCTTCTTCTTCTTCTTCTTCTTCTTCTTCTTCTTCTTCTTCTTCTTCTTCTTCTTCTTCTTCTCTTTCTTCTTCTTCTTTTTCTTCTTCTTCTTCTTCTTCTTCTTCTTCTTCTTCTTCTTCTTCTTCTTCTTCTTCTTCTTCTTCTTCTTCTTCTTCTTCTTCTTCTTCTTCTTCTTCTTGTTTACCAGCTGTAAACTCTGACGGACATTTCTAATCAATCAGGTGCCGTCTCTGAAGTAAAGACGGATGGAATGAATCTCCAACACGTTCTGTTTCTTGTTTTATTAGTACACATTTTTACACTGCTCTTTGTCCATCTCTCAATGTTGCCCTCGCCACCTTTCCCCCGTTTGTATCGTTTTTTACCTATTGCTTTCAGGCATTTGACTTTTAACTTCTGCTCAGTTATTATAATAGTGGGTCTGTGCTTCTGAATGCTCTTTTCATTCCCCCCACCCTCTTTCTCTCTCTCTCTCTCTCTCTCTCTCTCTCTCTCTCTCTCTCTCTCTCTCTCTCTCTCTCTCTCTCTCTCTCTCTCTGCCTCTCTCCAGAATCTCTATATCTAATTGTTTTTGTTTCCAAAAAGTACCACCCATTTTTCTGTTTCTGGACATCTCTAGAGACTACATTCAAATTTTATAGTTTCAGGAACTACTGTTAATGAAATGAGTTCAATAAACAAATGTCTGACACTGAAAATGATAATCTCCAGTGAATCGCCTAATGGAAATAATAATAAAAATAATCTTGTTATTATTTTATCGCCGTCGACGTTATTGCACATCGGACACTAGGCTGCATGCTCAGTCTTTGATCGTTCAGTTTGCCCACTCCATACTGCTAACAAAAATGTTCATCTTACCATCCTACGATGTGCAAATACCAAACCGGATTGCAGGTAGATCCCAGCAATTAAAAAAAAAAAGAAAGGTACGCGTGCGGCTGCACCTTCCAGTTTTATAGCTACTGCCTTCTGACCTGAATGAGTAAAAGCAGCTCTGACCTCCAGTACCACAACCACCGAAAGGAATCTCTGTCGTGTGTTCCTATGTCAAGTTGACCATGGTCTACCCTAGTTGACTATGGTCTACCCTAGTTGACTATGGTCTACCCTAGTTGACTATGGTCTACCCTAGTTGACTATGGTCTACCCTAGTTGACTATGGTCTACCGTAGTTGACTATGGTCTACCCGAGTTGACTATGGTCTACCCTAGTTGACTATGGTCTACCCTAGTTGACTATGGTCTACCCTAGTTGACTATGGTCTACCCTAGTTGACTATGGTCTACCCTAGTTGACTATGGTCTACCCTAGTTGACTATGGTCTACCCTAGTTGACTATGGTCTACCCTATGTCATCATTATCATTCCCATGTTCCGTTCCGATTACCCTAGGATGTCACGTGTGGCAATCTCACACAAACAACAGATTAGGGTGAAGCCATCGTCTTGCTTAATCCATAAGATCAAGCTATCTAGGTATCAGTCTCTTTGCCTTTCTTTGCTCTCTGTCCATTGAGTTTGCAAATCGTCACCAAGTTCTCGGGTCTAATCCTTCTAATAGCGTGTCCTATGAAAACCGTCTGTAGAAAAAATAATTGTCTGTTAAAAAAAAAAAAAACACCACTCTTTTTAATCGTCTTCGGCGGTGGTACAACATAGAAAACAGCGGGTAAAGAATCCATTGGAGTACTTCGTTGTTACATGTACTGATGCTGTTGTTCGAGACGAAGGCGAGCCATCTTGAATTGGCCCAGGTATCGTCTTGCCCGAAAAACATGGAAACCTAGTAGGTCTATTAAATACAGGAACTAATTTCTTGGATGATGTTTTCTCAGCGTAGATTGGGTCGGCACATGGGCCAATGCCTACAGGAACCTGAAATGAAAAATGGTAAATATAATGTAAATGCTCTTCTCTTCGATAATGTACACAATTTAAAAAGGTAACGTCACTGTATTTACAAATTTGCCACTTTTCGCTATTGTGTATCATGTATGTTGCAGAACATTTGTTCCATCGCGCATGGTTCTTATTCTTGCTCTTGTTCTTGTTCTTCTTTTCTTTTCTTTTCTTTTTTTTTCTATTTAGGGATTATTCTTGCTCTTGTTTTTAAACTGTGTTAAAGTCAAATGTTAAGCACCAGCAAGGAAATCAACGTCAACATTGTGAGAGCAAGCATCTTCCCTGTAGCAACATATGGTGTGTTAGTCGTGGACTATCTCGCAGTTTTCAGTGAAGAAAATATGAGTGCGCTTCTATAGAAAGATTCTCAGATTATTATGGACAGAGAAGAAAAGAGATAAATGATAAAATAAAGTATTCGAACGTTAAGGAAGACAGGCTAGTAAGCAGCATCTTGCTCGAAAGCTGAACAATGTTGCCCTTTCAATCGTCACTCTGGATTTGAACACATAATAACAGAAGGCATTCTATTAGAAAAGAAGGGGGTGGGGGAGGTGAGTGGAGGTTACCAACACCAAGACTGACACATGGTGTTAATGACACTTTTGGTACGAACGTGTACGAGGCCGTGGAGCTCGCGAGAGAAAGTTTCTTTCAAACAGACCGTGATGAGAGCGACGATCAGCGAAAGACCTGCTACATGATGTTTGTCTTGTTGTTGCTCTTGTTAATGTTCCTCTTCAACATCGTCGTCGTCGTCGTCGTCGTCGTCTTCTTCTTCTTCTTCTTCTTCTTCTTCTTCTTCTTCTTCTTCTTCTTCTTCTTCTTCTTCTTCTTCTTCTTCTTCTTTTTCTTCTTCTTCTTCTTCTTTTTCTTCTTCTTCTTCTTCTTCTTCTTTTGCTTATTCTTCCTCTTCTTCTTCCTCCTCTTCTCCTTCCTCCCCTTCTTCTTTTTCTTCTTCTTCTTCTTCTTCTTCTTCTTCTTCTTCTTCTTCTTCTTCTTCTTCTTCTTCTTCTTCTTCTTCTTCTTCTTCTTCTTCTTCTTCTTCCTCTTCTTCTTTTGCTTCTTTTTATTCTTCGTTTTCTTCTTCTTGTTTTTTCTTTTTCCTCTTCTTTTTCTCTTTTTTTTTCATCTTCTTCTTCCTCATCTTTTTCTTCTTCTTTATCATTATCTTTAATTTATATTTACTTTTCTGTTTTAATTTCTTCTTCTTCTTAGTATTATCAATATAATTATTATTAGCTATCCTTCTTGTTTATTAAATTCTTTATTTTGTTGTTGCTGGTTTTGATGCTGTTGTTTTCTTCTTCTCCCTTTGAATGTTTCCCTTTCCCTTCCCCTTCTTTATCTGTCGTGCCTTTGTTCACAACACCTTTACCGTCAGAACTACCACTCTCATCATTCTAGTATACAGACCTGCACTCGGCATTTCCATAAAGCGGTTAATTACGAAAGAAACGCAAGTTAGAGACAGACACACATATGACCCAGTTATTTCCCTTCCATAACATTATCTCACCTGAGATAACACATTTATCACCATACATTCTAAGGAAGCCTAAAATTGGTGCCAGTTCTCCGGTAAAGCAAGCCGACTGAAGTAATGATGTTACCCACATAACCATCATATGCCGATATGAGTCTTTCACTATATGCTCCCACGATGAGGAAAGAGCCCTCTACCTCTACATTTTACACAGTAAAAGATGAGCTGTGGGGACCACTGGGTCTCCTTGGCGAAGTGGCCAATCCGTTTGCCTCGCAGTTTTATGGTCATGGGTTCGTTACACGGCAACGAAGTTTTATTTCATGAGTGCAGTTTTAACGGAGAACCCTGGGGATTGTCACCAAAGCTACAGAGGTCGTGCTCTGTGCTGACCCTCTTATTATATCATCTTACAATGACAAACACTGTTTGTAACAACAACTGTTTGTAATGTAATAGGGTGGAAGCAACGAAGACCACAGTATAGCAGATTAAAGATCTTAGATTTATTCTGGTTTGAAAATTGCTAAAGGGCCACCGGAACAACTAATTGAGTTAGACAGAAGATGGGGAAAATCAGGCCACGGGGTATTTAAACGGCCGACTGACAAAGTTTCAGCCTATTCGACTTCCGGACGGACTCTGCGCCAGCCTACCTAGCGACTGTGCTTCGCACAATGAGCTAGTTAACAGGCGTGGCGGGCGTGGGGAAAGTTCGTGGTCTGACTGGCTCGGATCACGGTACGTCAGTTGGTTAGATGGTATTAAAATAGATCTTCCCTTGTATTCTTGCTAAGAGATAGTTGGATGGTAGATCGCTATATATTTGAGATTTTGTTCCAGCACTTTGTCGTCCTTAATGTCGTTATTTGTTGGCCATGCTGATGTGAAGTTAAATAAAATTATGTTCAACGTTGTATTCATAGTTACAGTTGTTTTCTTCAGCTTAGGACCTGTAGTTAGTTTACTAGTTTAGTTTACTCGTTGCTTGGCTATACTAGACTTTACACAGAAGAGTTCTTGCCAGGGTGAGATATTCTGATCTCTCCCCCACCAAAATGAACTCTCTATTATTCTTTTTATTTCTTTCTTGGTACTAAGGGCCCCTCCGGCATAGTACTGTAACAAACATAAATTTACATTATTTTAACTCATAAACGAACAATGTTGCTTGAACCACCTTAAAAGTACATTATTTAAATCTACAAAAGAACAACATTTCGATAATAACGTTAAAGAACATTTTTTCAACAAAAAAAAAAAATATTGTTTGTAATTACCTCAAAAGAGAATCATTTCAACTCACAAACGCCATTGTTTGTAATTACCTCAAAAGAGAATTATTTCAACTTACAAATGTTATTGTTTGTAATTACCTTAAAATAGTACTATTTTTTTTAACTCCCAAACACCTTTGTTTGTATTTACCTTAAAAAAGTATTATTTTAACTCACAAACCCCATTGTTTGTAATTATCACACAAGAGTGTTTTTTTCAGATTACAAAAATCATTGCAATTATCTTAAAAAGAGCATTTTTGTCAACTCATAAACGAGCAATATTGTTAGTAATTACGTTAAAAGAGTATTATTTTAACCCACAAACACCATTGTTTGTAATTATCTCAGAATCTCAGAATAGTAATTTTTCAGCTCACAAAAACTATTGTAATTATCTTAAAAGAGCATTATTTCAACTCACAAACGAGCAACATTATTTGTTATTACCTTGAAAGACAACTTTCCGCCGGCAGGAGTAAACTTGATCTCCACAAGAAGGTAGTAACCAAATTTGATTTGGCTGCTTCCAAGAATGTACGGAGAGACCAATCCAGTATACGTTGGCATCGTAACAGCAAAGGTGTTATCTCCTGTTTGACCGGGTAGCTTTTCCCTGGTCAAATTGGGGTTTTTACGTATGATCTTGGACAGAGTAAGTTCTATGGGCTCTTGTTTGGGGCCGATTGTGATGTATTCCTGCAGTTTGCAGATTATTTCCTAATGGAAATAAAGTGTACAGACAACAGTGTGAAACAAGATGTAAACATAGTCTCTGTATTCCTATCTGGCATATCTCTGTTGGGAAAAAGGGTGTGGGGGAGAGGGGGGTGGTGGTCTTCGTTGTAAAGTGACCAAGCTGACTCCTGATCGTACCAAGGGTAGGGGGTTCGGCTCGTAAAGGCGTCGTTCGGTTCACGACACTATTTCGCTATATCCTTTGACAATCAACACTGGAGGTACGTAGTTTGTACGTTATGAGACGCGTTCAACAGGAGAATTGCGTGGGGTGAATGTGTTATATGAGATAACCCAGGTTAATGAAGTCAATCCTCCCACCTTTAACTGGAAAACCTTGTGACATTGGGAAATTTATTGGGGAAAATATGCAGAGGGTTGGCGAGATAGAAGAAGCCAAAGAGTTTGACATCAAGGCATGAATGATCAAACATGATTGACAATGCAGGAGACACGAGGCTGTGGATAGACATTACTACCAACTCCATACAGCCATATGAAGGCGAGAACGATGACAGAATTGCACACATTAATATTTATCAAGAGTTGTTTGCCCCCATCGCACATTCTCTATTCACGTTGTTTACTTACATCGCACATTCTCTATTCATGTTGTTTACTCACATCGCACTCGCTCTTTTCAAATTGTTTGCTTCTATCGTATATTGTCTGTTCGTATTGTTTGCTTCCATCGCACATTCTCTGTTCGTATTGTTTGCCTCCATCGCACATTCTCTGTTCCTTTTGTTTATTTACATCACACACGCTCTGTTCGAATTTTTTGCATCTATCGTACATTCTCTGTTCACGTTGTTTACTTACATCGCACATTCTCTGTTCGTATTGTTTGCGTCCATCGCACATTCTCTGTTCGTATTGTTTGCCTCTATCGCACATTCTTTGTTCGTAAGTCTGTAAAATGCTAACAGTTACCATTGGTCATTGTTATTGACCTATACTTCCAAATTAAAAATCTTTGACGTCAGTAGGTTTATAATAAACTATAGACTGACTCCAGCTGTAAAGAAATTAGGTGAAGTAAAAGAAAAAGACTCTCTCACGCCTGTCATGCAACAGGCATATACTTCTACGTCATTTGTGTTCAACCTGAAAAGGACGGATGTCACATTGCGTTGATGTTTACAGCTAGGGTCTGATATCTGCGCCTTTTACTCCAACACATGCAATTTCAGGAAACCCTAATTACGAGCCTGTTGTGACATGTTTGTTAGAGGGGTAGGGGTCTACTGTATGTCTAATCAAAACTGCGCTCATAAACTCAACTGGGACGCAACGAGTATCTGATGCTAGATTCGTACTGCTTTTAGACAAAACTTATTCTATGGCCGATGAGGTCAACATCACGCTGGCACTTTGATGCCCCAGAATATTTTCCCTATCCAGGTTTACAGCCTAAATGTCTAGCATCCAATGATTCCAAAGGCCCTTAATCGGATGACAACATTCTGCTGATAGCCCATCGCGTGCGGTGTTGGTAGTTGTCTTGTGTACTTTCAATCAGGGTTGACACAGATGATCTTCCCCACTGTCACGATGTACTCCCCCGTTTGTTCCTTTTCGTGACTTGACCAAGGAATGCAGATTGTCTCCCTCTTGCTGTGTCAGCTTATTTCAAGACATCTTCTTTACTCTTTTTATCTGTTCAAGGTATTCTCATCATTCGTCTATAAAAGCTTATCCCCACTGATCACAAATAATTGTTCACAAAACGCCCAACTGTCCATGATTTACTTTCGTTTATTAGGATAGGCTGTATATAATAACTCTTGAGAACCTAGCTGTGGAAAATCCTAGAAACTTCGTTTAACCGTCTATTAGAGTAGGCGACGGTTGCAAAGTAACCCACTGTCCAGTGTGGATAGATGATTGTCTAGTACATCTCCTGATAATAATTTTAGCTGATTCGGCATGCTAGTGAAATTCAAGCATTTTCCGTGTCATTTTTAAATTTCACAGACGTGGGGGGGGGGGGGGGGGGTGTGTGTGTGTGTGTGTGTGTGTGTGTGTGCGTGCGTGCGTGCGTGCGTGCGTGCGGGCGTGCGTGCGTGCGTGTGTGTGTGTGTGTATGTGTGTGATATGAAACGATTTGATGTGAAATTATATAGACATGTCTCACATAATATCAGGTGGCCTGGTGGCATCCTGTTCCTAAACTTGGGCTACCTTTGCCAACTTAAATGCTATCATGGCAGATCTCCAGGAAGATGGATACAGGACATTCAAGATGAACTGGCTCTGAAAGAATATGGGACTGGAGAAGTGAGTAGAGAAGAGGGACTTTCTAACATTGTATCAAACAATAAGGGCTGTCTCTCCTCTTTATTAATTTGAAGAAAAATATATGTGTGTACCCTGACCTCTGAGAAAGGGTAGTTTGAAGTTTTATTCTCCCCTGACTTACCTTGACACTTTGTGAACTTGGTAACGAGACCTGAAGTTGCATACGTATATCGTCTCCAGCAAGAAACACGGCACGATCCAAGTTAATGGACACAATAGCTGGCTGGTGATGTGTGCATGCAAGGTAGACCTGTAAATATGTTAGTTTCCATCAGCGAGAGAATGTTAGAGTGAAAACTGAACAGGTATAAATGACAAATATTGTGACTTCAATACCTCAACCAGTAATTATAGTTAAATAAAATTGTAGCAGTAAGATATTTTGGGTTAAATCAGTTAGTGAGTGATTAAAGTTAACAATGAACGCATTCCAAAGATTTTAGGAAAAACTATACAGGTGCCCTGACAATTATGTTGTCATTATTCAGCCGACCGATAAATTTAGTTAAACCTAGATGATCAAACAAAAAAAGGAGGAAACAAAAGCAAGAAAGAAAACAAAAAATGATGCCTATGAAGCAGGATTTCTTCCAAACTATAAGGTATGTGTATGAGTGTGCGTGTGTGTGTATGTGTGTTCCTGTGAGTATGTATGTCTGCGTATGCGTCTGCGTGTGTGTGTCTGTGGTTGTGTGTATGTGTCTGGGTAAGCAGCAGCGTGTGTGCGTGAGTGTGTGTCGGCGATTATGTGTGTGTTTGTGTGGGTCTGCGATTGTGTCAGTGTGGGTGTATCTGTGTGTTTGTATGTGTGTATGTGTGTGTTTGTGCATGTATGTGTCTGTGTCCATGTGTTGCGTCTGCTTGTGTTTGACTGCGGGTTTGTGTGTGTGTCGCATGTGTGTGTCTGTGTGTGTATCTGTGTGTGTGTTTTTATCTGTGTGCGTATGTCTGTGTGTGTGCGTTTGTTTATGTGGTTATTTCTGTGTGTGCATGTGTGTATCGGTATGTATGTACGTGTGTGGAATGTGCGTGTTTGTGTGGGTAGGAAGGTATGTATGTGGGTGAAATGGGGGGGGGGGGGGAAGGTGTTTATGTTTGTGTGTAAAGGTATGTGGGTGTATATATGCGTGTTTAAGTGAGTGGGTGGGCGTGTGTGTGTGTGTGTCTTTGTGTGCGTGCGCTAGTGTGCGCATGCATTTTACCACCCATGCTTTTGAGGTTTTTTTGCCTTGATATTCATAATATGCATATTATCATATGAATATAGTATGCTTATTGATAAAATACAGCTGCAGTGTGAAACACGGGTTTTCGGAAGGGCCGAATGTAAGACGGGCCTGCTGCCCAATTTGTCAATATATGAAAATAAAGTTCATTCGTTCGTTCGGTAGTATGTTACACATATGCCTGCCAGACCAAAAGTTGTAGTTTTAATCCTCACGGAGGCTGAATGTGTGTCTTTGGCCTTCGCGCACATGCAGAGCAGCCTAAATATAATGTTGTTCGACTTCAGTCCTGTTCCAGAACCTGAGTGAAACGTGTGCACCGTTTTACAGATCTGACTAATTTGTATGCAGACTGTTCGTTCCTTGTCTCTCAGACAGATGCACCAGACTTCCAAGGAAACTCCTAAATCAGTCGACTCTTACGGCATGCTTTTGGGTAGGCTGTGGGTCTATTTTTGTTTTCCCTATAATAGGGCCCCGGAACCCACCTCGTAGATTTTTGCTAGTTCAAAGTTCATTAAATTTAACTCGTTCAGTTCAAGGCCTCTCTTGCTTTAACTCACATTTCTCTAAGAAGTATTTGCTCAAAGTTATACACATCTGTATCAAAGAGGTGCAATTAATATCACTATGGGACGAAAGAAACTGAAGTTACATTTTAACAAGTGCTCTGAAGCAGCAGCTCGACTGATTTCAAGGTGGCCTGAAAAGCTTGATATATCAAGGCAACACCAGTAACGGTTTGCTAAGTTGCTTGGTGAATTAAAAAAAGATAACATTACAATTAACTTTTAATACCACTAGTTAATCGAAGGTCGACCCAGCATTAAGTTGGTAGGGGGTACAGGCCTGTGAAGTAAAGGCGGCTGACGTAATGCTGACCCCATCACCCACCAAGTGCCGTTTGGTCTATAAACTATAGGTCTATTCCTGTAGACCTGATACTCCTGAAGGTGTGGAAAAGGATACTTTACTTTGCTTCACCACTATTTAAATATAGAATCGTTTCTGATCATTGTTCTTTCGACCCATTGTTTGCACTGCCTATACCGAGGCCACGTTCCTGACTTGACATTGTTTGCACTGCCTATACCGAGGCCACGTTCCTGACTTGACATTGTTTGCACTGCTTATACCGAGGCCACGTTCCTGACTTGACATTGTTTGCACTGCCTGTACCGAGGCCACGTTCCTGACTTGACATTGTTTGCACTGCCTATACCGAGGCCACGTTCCTGACTTGACATTGTTTGCACTGCCTATACCGAGGCCACGTTCCTGACTTGACATTGATTGCACTGCCTATACCGAGGCCACGTTCCTGACTTGACATTGATTGCACTGCCTATACCGAGACCACGTTCCTGACTTTACATTTTCAGTTTGCCCTAACTGAACAAATATAATAAGCTGTGTAAAAATTGATATGGTTTGATTATAACATCTATCGGTGTAACACACATCGCAGATTGTTTACTTTTTTAAAAATTACTATTGAACATATCAGGACACAGACAGACAATTGCTCTGACATGAAGTTTGAGATATAAAGGATTTGAGTTTGGAGACACAAAAGATTATATTTTCATTACCTGTTCAGTGTGTACGATAGGGGAATTGAAATCTGGTATAGTGTTCACGTCAAATCCACGCTGAACGTTGAAGTTGACCTACATTGAGGAGACATACAAGATCGTCAATTAATAAATTACACAAAGAACGCATACATTTATGTGTTTTAAAATCCTATCTCTTTTTAAAAAAAAATAATTTGCAGCATGCATTATATCACGCATATGCAACATATATATATATATACACACACACACACACAATTATGTTGTATGAGTACGAGAATTTGGAGTAAAGATTGGCACAGCCAAGCATGAAAAGCATACGAGACGCACACGAAGTCTTGTCAACCAGCATAGGACTGGCACTATTAACCGTGCGACGCTGATGAATACGTTAAAATAAAAAAGGAGGGGGGGGGGGGCAGGGACATTACACTAGCCGCAAGCTAACTTGGTTTGGGCACGTGGTGAGACATGATTCGATTGCAAAGACTGTGCTTCAAGGAACGCTGGGGTGGGGGTCGAAGAAGAGGAGGGCAAAGAAGTACCTAGAAGAACAACATCAAGAAATGGACAGGACTTAGTTAACACACATTTTTTCATCAAGCGGAAAACGAGAAAGATGGCGGGTTTTACGTGCTAGTGCTTCTATCAATACACTTCCACGACCCAAATGGGTCAAGGGTTATGTTTTGTTACACCAGCCGAATATATTTCCAATGACTTTACCTAGTACCCATTTAGGACTATGGAAACCAAATTCATTTATTAAGAAAGAAAACAGTGTGGCTATGACAGGACCTGAGCCCACGACCTTTGAATCCACAGGCGACGGTCTAGCCGCTACACAACGGCGGCTTCCACGTACACGATGGGGGAGGGGAATAGTGTCCGCGTGTGAGCTCCGGGACTCCGTGTTGGAGAACAAAGAACAGACCCACTGCTCTGTAACTAGCATGTCGTGTGTAACAGGCTGGCCACAGAAGGTAGGTAGATTTTTGGCCTGTTTATTATTTTGGTTTAACAACTTATAGCTGCTTGCACTGGCAAGGTGGTTTGGTGGAACTCTTCAGTAGTGTCCAGCAAGTCACGTGAGTCGTATAAGGTGATAAAAGGCCTGATTCTGTTAACAGTTTCCCTTTCCAGCTATAGCTGCCCAAGAGGCTAGAAGCTCTTCCAATTTGTCGCCCAAACCACACACGGTTAAAGCGCGAATTAGGTTCAGACTGCATAACGGTACTACCTGGTTGTTGGTCATCTAGTAGTTGTCAGTATTTTGTTATTCATTGGTTTACCAGTTGGTTAGTTTTCTACTGCTCTGCTCATATACCCTCAGTTAGTAGTTCTTTAGTATACTTAGTTTTCAGAGTGTGTCGTGAAATGATAGCCATTACGCATCGGTCTGTAAGGCTGATAACCTGTCTTACCTGTACTCTGCACAAAATTCAAACTTGGACTCGCCCAGAAATATATAGTCCATTATATCTCTATATATAGGCCTTTATTGGACAACATTATTATGT